TATATATATATATATATATTTATCCATCCTTCTTTGAAATAATTTAATCATAAATTGATTCGATTCGATTTTAAATTAATAATTTTCTTTTTATTAGGTTTTCGTCTATCAGATCAATTTTATGACTTAGTTATAAGAAAATTTGATCGAACTGGTCGTGGTACAGTAGCATTTGATGATTTTATTCAATCATGTGTTTCAATTCAAACATTAACTAATGCTTTTCGACATTTTGATCGTTATCAAAGTGGACAAATAACTATTGGTTATGAAGACTTTTTAACACTTGTTTTTTCGCTTAAAATGTAAATAATGCATAGGATGCTAAATATGCCTTTTTTTTACATTGTCTCCCATTATTTATTTAACTATGATACATAATCGAGAAAAATGTTAACAAACATTATAAATCAAACTATCAACTATTTTGCATGTGTGATAATTAATTACTGGTGTTTTATATTCACTTTGCTTTTCATATGCACGTTGATTCTAGTTTTTCTTTTATGCTTTTTCTTTTTACATAGGAGACTCAATCCACGTTCATGAAACGCACTTGCAAAGTTCTTTTTTATTCGTGTTGTTTTTTTTATTCTTCGTCTATTGTGATTAACGAATCTCAGTTAATCGATTTTTTTCCCATATTTTGTTCCAATATTGTTTTATTAAGTGGATCAGTGTAAGAACAATAATATTCTATGTTGATTAATGAAATAAGATTGTTTCAATATGATTATTTTTTTTTTGTTCATGTTTAAATAAAAAAGTTTTTTTTTTTGATCAATATTTGTGCTAACTGATCCTTAGTTATAGTTCATGTTTGACGGTATGTTTCAAAGTATAGACAAGTTATTAAAAAGATCAAATGATACTAAATTAAACAAAAAAATAATTTATAAATCTGTGAATTCATAATAACATCTTAGTATGCGTTTGTTGAACAAAGATTATGATCTATAGAAGATATTTAAAAACATGTATTGTATTTTCACAATGGCATAAATAATATTGCATCTCATGCATTCTTTCTCAGCTCCTTGATTTTCTAAATAAATAAATAATACAATATTGGACATAATTCTTCAGATGATTTTATTTTAAGTATGACTTTCTCATAAAGTTGCCTTTTAAAATACGGTTGGCGTCAAAAGTACAGTTAATGTTTATACTATATCTACAGAAAATTTCATTTCAAAACGTTGAATTATAGTGGAACTCAACATATAAAATAATGAGAAGTAGTCAACTTTTGTTGGACAAAATTCTTTTCGACGATATTTCAAATTGAGTTAATTTTTTTCTACAATTGTTCAAAAGAATTAAAATTATATAAATAGAACGAGCAAAACACGAGCAATATTTTTGATAACTAAAGCTTTCTAAAACCAAAATATCTATAAAGTGAAATGCTTAATTTATGATAGACGTCATGTAAACACTTTTTCATTTTTATATGATGAGTGATTATTATTCTTTCCCAATATCATATTCGAAAGAGCATCTGATGCTGTAAATTTTTCAGAAAATGACCTCTCAAAATTAAAAAGTATTTTTTAGAAACTTTAAATTATTCTCTATGTTATGCAGCATCAGACACTCTTTTGAATATGGTATTTCAAAAAAAAGAAAATTAGTCATTATATAAAAGTGATAAAGAGTTTACATGACGTCTATCATAAACTAAGCATTTCATTTTATAAACATTTTGTTTTTAGAAAGTTCTAGTTATCAAAAATATTGCTCGTGTTTTCCTCTTTCTATTTATATGATTTCAATTCTTTTGAACAATTGTAGAAAAAAATTAACTCAATTTAAAATATCGTCGAAAAAAGTTTTGTCTAACAAAAGTTGACTACTTCTCATTATTTTATATGTTGAGTTCCACTATGATTTAACGTTTTGAAATGAAATTTTCTGTAGATATAATATAAACATTGACTGTACTTCTGACACAAACCGCATGTCAAAAGTCAACCTTAGAAAATATACTAATAGTTTTTATTTCTTGTTTTTGTACAAAGTTTTTTTTTGAGATCGAAATATCACTAGCATTTCTAAAATGACTCTAGATATATACAGAAAATAACTTCATATTGCACCTATATAATGAACTATCATTTCGCTAATAACGGTAACTTTGAGATGAAATCGACTAGACTTAGCAGTATCGAATGTTTATGAATAGGATAATTTTTCGATTGCAATTGTGCTTCTAATAGCCCCAGTATATTTAAACCTTTGAAAATCAGTGTACAGCACTCACTACGCTTCTTAGAGTTTCTTAATTTTTGAAGTATTCACGAACGCAAGAATTATATCGAGATGCAACGATATAGTTTTGTCGAGTTAATCTCAAATATGCTATTCTTTTTGCTTGCAAGTATATAGGAAGTGTAAAAGATGCAAAATAAACGAAATAACTTTGGGTTCGGCTGAATGTGAAGTCTTTTTCACAATATTTAATTTATGGATATTTCGTCTTACATTCTAATTATTATATTTTTACATGATTATGACAGACATTAACTACAGAAGATATGGTAGAATAGGCGACTCTTAGTTTCTCACACTTATCTCTCTATGTATGTTTCAATAATGAGTGTTCATTTTCAATGAATTTCTCAAATCATATACTAGTTAACCCTCATACTTTGTGTAAAGTAATTGAAAGACATTTTAGGGTATCTGATGCAATTTTGAAGTGAAAATAATATTTCTCAGTTGAGCTATGAATAGTTTTTGAAGAGGGCACCAAACTTCAAACATGACACTCGATTGTAAAATAGCTGTATTTCAGAAACTAATAAGAGTTAACACTTCAATTTCATATTGTAAATACTAGGAAGGAAGCACTACATTTTGATAAAAAGGAAAAAGTTTTCATCTCTTTTGACTCAAGAGTTATTAAGTATTTTATGGTCAAAGAAATGAAACATTTATATCTCACGAATCATCCAAGAAAAAGAAGCCTAAATTTTTCGGATGATCATCATTTGCTATTTATAATAATCATACAAATTTAGAAGTTCCATGCTACTATGGTCGAGCAATGGTACT